CCCCCAAACCATGGGGAAATGATGGGATTAGAGCCTGGAATAATCCCCCAAACCATGGGGAAATGATGGGAACAGAGAGTGGAATAATCCCAAAAAATATGGGGAAAATCAGGGGAACAGAGAGTGGAATAATCCCAAAAAACCTGGGAAAAATCCTGGGAAAAATCCCGGGATCAGAGCCTGGAACAAACCCAAAAAAATGGGGAAAATCAGGGGAACAGAGACTGGAACAAACCCCAAAAAAATAAAAAAAAACCCAAAGAAAAAAGGGAAAAATCCCGGGATCAGAGCCTGGAATAACACCAAAAAAATGGGGAAAATCCTGGGAAAAATCCCGGGATCAGAGCCAGGAACAACCCAAAAAACCCCCAAAAAACCCTGGGAAAAATCCTGGGATCAGAGCCAGGAACAAACCCCAAAAAACCAAAATAAACCTGGGAAAAATCCTGGGATCAGAGCTGGGAAAACCCCCCAGATCCCAAAAAAACCCCCCAAAAAATCCAAAAAACCCCAAAAAACCTGGGAAAACCCTGGGATCAGCACCAGGAACAACCCCCAGACCCCCAAAAAAAAAAAAAAAAAAAAAAAAAAAAAAAAACAAACCAAAAAAAAACCGGGAAAAACCCCGGGAACCTCCCCCAGATCTCAAAAAAAATTTCCCCCCCCAAAAAAACCCCTGGAAAAATTTTCCCGATTTTTTTTCTCCCAGCCAGGAGGGAACCGGGATTGGGAAAATTCTTGGGAAAAAATCTTGGGAAATTCCAGAGGTTTTTGTTTTGGTTTGGTTTTTTTTTTCAGGGATTTGGAGGGGAGCAGGAGCCAGGAAACGGCTTCCTGCTGGATTTAGGGATGGAATTCCCAGGGAATTCCCAGAAAACTCCCAGAAAATTCCCTGAAAATTCCCAGAGAATTCCCAGAGAATTCCCAAAGAATTTTCAGAAAATTCCAAGAAAACTCTCAGAAAATTCCCAGAAAATTCCCAAAGAATTTTCAGAAAATTCCAAGAAAACTCTCAGAAAATTCCCAGAAAATTCCCAAAGAATTCCCAAAGAATTCCCAGAAAATTCCCAAAGAATTCCCAGAAAGTTCCCAGAGAATTCCCTGAGAATTCCCAGAAAAATCGCAGAAAATTCCCAGGGAATTTCAAGAAAATTCCCAGAGAATTTCCCTGAAAGTTCCTCGTGAATTCCCAGAGAATTCCCAGGGAGCTTCAAGAAAACTCCCAGAAAATTCTCAGAAAATTCCAAGAGAATTCCCAGAAAATTCTCAGAAAATTCCCAGAAAATCCTCAGAAAATTCTCGGAAAATTCCCAGATAATTCATAGAAAATTCCCAGAAAAATCACAGAAAAAACACAGAAAATTCTCAGAGAATTCCCTGAAAATTCCCAGAGAATTCCCATGGAATTCCCAGAGCACTCCCCCCGATTCCCGGGGTTTTTTGGGATTTTTTGGGATTTTTTGGGAATTTTGGACTCACATTTTCCTCTTGACGCCGAGGATCCGGTTGGATTGCACCAGGGAAATCAGGAACTGGATCAGCTGGGGGGGAAATGGGAAAAGGTCAGGAAAGGAGGGGAAAAAAA